AATAAAATTAACTGTACTTGTAGGTCACTGAAAATTAGATGTAATATGTAAACTCTTGAAAAAGAATACTTTAAGTCTAACTTTAAAGCTAGCCTGTAATAAACATATAATGGATAAATGACATGACAAAAAAGCTAATTTTATTTGTAGTCTTCCATGTCATTTCCTTTGCCTTGGTTGGGACACTACTTATTAAGTATAGTACAATTCAGTTAAACATCATTAAGACATCAAAATCAAATGTTAAGAAAAGCAAAATATAGTAGTATAATTTGAAAGAGAATGCTACAAGCAGTGATTCAAATGAACAAAACAAACCCCTGAGAAGGTGTCTTCAAATATCTTTGAGAGTGTGGACTGAAATACCTAGTGGGAGCAACCCCACAGGGCACCCGAGCAAAAGTTTATTTACTTGCTCCTTTGGGGGATGGTTTTGGAAACTCTTAAAAGAAGGTTGCATCAGCGTTCGGACACCCCATGGCAAGAGCGATGAAGTTTTTTTTTTTGTATACAGCTAGATTCCTCCTCAGTATGGGCTTTAAAAATAAAACCACAAAATCAAAGGAGAGAAATAAGACTGTGATGTTCATGAATTATGCTGAGAGCTGGTCAAAACTTGGAATTTAACAATTCTCAACCTAATTTGGAATTTGAATTCTGACATTTCAAAATTTCCTTTTGTCCCATATTGGAACGAAAAGTTGAAATTCACTGTGAAACAAAATATCTGAACAATTTTGTTTTGGAATTATTGAAATGACCTTATCAAAGGTTAAAGCACTTTGTTTCAGCTTTATCCATTAATAGGTTCATTTTCCCCCCTCAAAACTGTTTTCACAATTATACTGTAGCCTCTCAGTAATATATTCTTCACTTTTTTCCTGTTCATGAGTTTGTTGTGGAACAGCCATTAAGAACTTATTAGCTTGATGTTTTCCATTGCAAAGATTCTTCCTGAGAAAAGTAAAAAGACACGGTCCCCTCTCTTACATGGGCTGATTTTACTTTCTTACACTAAAAAACAGATTGGTTCCTGATACTAGAAGTAATATAGATGTCTACAGTGCTAGTCATCTTGTCCTCACTCCTTCATTTCTCAGTCAGGAACTACCATAATTCAAGAAGTCACAAAGAAAACTTTACAAATTCATTGGTTTTGTGACTGATTTTGACTCCATTTCAAGAGAATGAAATTAATAGTTTAATGGTATTTCTTCCTGAACTGCCCTATCATTTGTGTGATGGAATTGGAGCTGTTCTGTAATAATTTATAAATACTGTATATTGACCTGGCTCTTGAGATTTTTACTGTATGAATATATTGTTTTTGTTTAATAGGGGACTGTAGGGAAAAGCAAGCAGGAAAGGAAAGAATGTCTCAAGATAATCCACTTGTGAGCAAACGTTTGAGAGTTAAGAGGCAATTTCAGGACAGGAAAATGCTGGGAATGTAGAAGGTCAAAAGAACTATGGCAGATTTAATAAGGGTCTCTTGATCAAAGGTGTGAGGGGGGCAGTTGTTCAGAGCAACCAGGCTGACACAGGCACCCATTAGACTGAGTGTCTGAAGAAGTTAAGGCCTGCTTAAGTTACCATCAGGCAATGATGTGCCCTTCACTCTAAAAGCTTTGTTCCTATTTATAAATAAATAATATTTGGTTTTTAAGAAGCCTGTCTGCACACTGGGCATCACTAGTCATGGACTTCCAAAGGGAAGAACCTCAGGTTTCCAAACTCAGTTGGACCTGCAGGGTGAGAACAGTTGACGTGCAGGGTACTGTAGCCCAGGCCCTGATTAAGTGTGGGAGAATGAATTGCGGAATTCCACCCTAGGACAGATAAAGGCGTGACGAAGTGCAGTGAAAGAGACCAAAAAAGAGACCAAAAAAGAGGAGCAGCTAGACCTGTAACCATGAGCATCAGTAAATTACTCCATCAAGAAATATATATCATGCTTCTCATAAACTATGACTAATATAATACCGTCTGAACCATTTGTCATGCATGACTGGAAAGTAAATTGGTAAAACCCATTCTCATTCTTAGTATCTTTGCAGATGGAAGCATAGATAAAAGAATGAAAAATTCAGTATGTTTTGGCTGGTTGTTTAAACTGTATTTTAAATTCTGGACACTGTAATTATTTAATTTTTAATATTGGGTCTAAGGTCAGTCAGTGGTTTTGCAAAGCTGTTGTTCCAGGGAGTTCTTGTAGAAAACGCATACGTTTAGGGATGTTTTGCCACATAGATTTATTTTTTTTCCTTCTGCCTCTTACTCCCCGCTCCCCAAAAAAGCAAGATCTGTATATTTACAACTGTACAGGTATCAGTAATTTAACTGTTTTTTTCAGCTGTGAAAAAAGTTGTTATAGTCATTGTCTTGGGACAGTGATTAGCCAAATTTATGCAAAAGTCCATATGTTGCCTTGAAAATGATGGAAACCTAAAATAAAGTGCTGCTTTTCAAAGACACCCATTTTATACAGAAGGGAAATATTAAGTGCCTTTTTTAGAGTTATATATGCTGTGTGAATTTGGGAGGAGTACACGTACTACTAGCAATTACTAGTTGTAATTTAACATGTCATATCTTATGTAGGAACTGTTATGGAAAGATTCAACCAAGCCTTGCATGCTGTTTTGTAGAGGTAGATTCAAAATATTAGCTCTTCTCGAGCATCTTTGAAAAGTTTCCTTGGGTAATTTTATCAGCTTTTATCTCCAAAATGACTTAACCTGCAACTTCATACTTGATTTGTCCTACTACTTTTTAATTATCTTAGCTGATGTGTTGAATATAACAAAATGGCTTTTTACTTAATCACGGCTTTTCACTTAGCCGTAAGTATGTGTGGTGCAGGGGGAAAAAAAAAAGTCTACCATTCTGTTGTTAGTGGGTAATGCTGCAGAAATGAGTTTTTTAGGGTGGACTAAATGAGATGATTATGAAAGCATCACAGATAGATTTATATTCTGAGCATAAGGAGCATGGAAGAAGGCACAGAAATGTTTGTGGTAAAGGGAGCATAAAAGAAAGAGTTATTGAGGCCAGGTTTCAGAGTAACAGCCGTGTTAGTCTGTCTTTGCAAAAAGAAAAGGAGTACTTGTGGCACCTTAGAGACTAACCAATTTATTTGAGCATGAGCTTTCGTGAGCTACAGCTCACTTCATCGGATGCATACCGTGGAAACTGCAGTAGACATTATATACACACAGAGACCATGAAACAATACCCCCTCCCACCCCACTGTCCTGCTGGTAATAGCTTATCTAAAGTGATCATTAAGTTGGGCCATTTCCAGCACAAATCCAGGTTTTCTCACCCTCCGCCCCCCCCCCCCCCCCCCACAAACTCACTCTCCTGCTGGTAATAGCCCATCCAAAGTGACCATTCTCCTCACAATGTGTATGATAATCAAGGTGGGCCATTTCCTGCACAAATCCAGGTTCTCTCACCCCCTCAACCCCTCCAAAAACCACACACACAAACTCAATCTCCTGCTGGTAATAGCTTATCCAAAGTGACCACTCTCCCTACAATGTGCATGATAATCAAGGTGGGCCATTTCCAGCATAAATCCAGGTTTTCTCACCCCCCCCCCAATACACACACAAACTCACTCTCCTGCTGGTAATAGCTCATCCAAAGTGACCACTCTCCCTACAATGTGCATGATAATCAAGGTGGGTCATTTCCAGCACAGATCCAGGCTTTCTCACCCCCCCCCCCCCCCGGGGAACATACACACACATAAACTCACTCTCCTGTCCAGTTTGACCAATGTAAATGGCAGAGGGGCATTGCTGGCACATGATGGCATATATCACATTGGTGGATGTGCAGGTGAATGAGCCTCTGATAGTGTGGCTGATGTTATTAGGCCCTGTGATGGTGTCCCCTGAATAGATATGTGGGCACCGTTGGCAACGGGCTTTGTTGCAAGGATAGGTTCCTGGGCTAGTGGTTCTGTTGTGTGGTATGTGGTTGTTGGTGAGTATTTGCTTCAGGTTGCGGGGTTACATTGGTCAAACTGGACAGTCTCTACATAAAAGAATAAATGGACACAAATCAGATGTCAAGAATTATAACATTCATAAACCAGTCGGAGAACACTTCAATCTCTCTGGTCACGCAATTACAGACATGAAGGTCGCTATCTTACAACAAAAAAACTTCAAATCCAGACTCCAGTGAGAAACTGCTGAATTGGAATTCATTTGCAAATTGGATACTATTAATTTAGGCTTAAATAGAGACTGGGAGTGGCTAAGTCATTATGCAAGGTAGCCTATTTCCCCTTGCTTTTTCCTACCCCCCCCCCCCCCCCCCGACGTTCTGGTTAAACTTGGATTTAAACTTGGAGAGTGGTCAGTTTGGATGAGCTGTTGCCAGCAGGAGAGTGAGTTTGTGTGTGTATGGGGTTGAGGGGGTGAGAGAACCTGGATTTGTGCAGGAAATGGCCCACCTTGATTATCATACACATTGTGAAGAGAGTGGTCACTTTGGATGGGCTATTACCAGCAGGAGAGTGAGTTTGTGTGTGCGGGGGGTGAGAAAACCTGGATTTGTGCTGGAAATGGCCCAACTTAATGATCACTTTAGGTAAGCTATTACCAGCAGGAGAGTGAGTTTGTGTGTGTATGGGGGTGGGGGGGGGGGTGAGAAAACCTGGATTTGTGCTGGAAATGGCCCACCTTGATTATCATGCACATTGTAGGGAGAGTGGTCACTTTTGATAAGCTATTACCAGCAGGAGAGTGAGTTTGTGTGTGTGTGTGGGGGGGGGCGGAGGGTGAGAAAACCTGGATTTGTGCTGGAAATGGCCCAACTTGATGATCACTTTAGATAAGCTATTACCAGCAGGACAGTGGGGTGGGAGGGGGTATTGTTTCATGGTCTCTGTGTGTATATAATGTCTACTGCAGTTTCCATGGTATGCATCCGATGAAGTGAGCTGTAGCTCACGAAAGCTCATGCTCAAATAAATTGGTTAGTCTCTAAGGTGCCACAAGTACTCCTTTTCTTATTGAGGCCAGCGTCTTTCAAAGTTACAGGGTGTCATACAAAATCTCCACTCTGGGTACAGTATACACAAACAACATAGACCTGTCTATCTATTACTTGCCTTGTGAAGTCCACAACCTTGTTGAGGCTCCTAAAACATGCATAGAAATATAGCCATGTATACTATTAAAATTAGAATGTCTAAAATTGAAAACATTTTATCCATAAGTCCTTAAATTGCTATTTCTACCAATTCTGCATATTTACAATAAAATAATATGCTGAACAAGCACTATCAAATTGATATCAGTACTATCTATTGCCATCACTCAAACATTGTATACACTAAAAAATAAAATATTATTCACATATTTATGCTTTCAACAATATTTCTTAACAAATCTTCTTCATATGGAAAATATATTAATACAGAAAATAGAAAATACTCCTCTGAAGAAATGTTCCAGCAATTAAGTCTATTGCCAAACAAACAAACAAACAAACAAAAAATCCCTTTCCAGCTTGAAAGAGAATGTTCAGATAAGGTAGCGTGTATATTTGAAAGCGGTGAAGCAGCTAGATATATTAAATATGAATTTCATAAATTTTAGAAAGTATGGGGTTTTGTGTGTGTTTATATGAGCATTTGCAAGATTAGATGGGGGAATTCTCTCAGACTTAACTATTTTTCTGAAATGATGAATTCTGGATTTTTGGTTTTTATTTTGAATTTTAGTTCAGTCATTTTGAGTCACTTACAGTGAACATGTCCACTGTTTCCAGTGCTTGGCTATGGATTTCCCTTGCAAGTTGTACTTTTTTTTTTTTGTTAATTTTGACAATTGATCTGGCTTTGGTGTATTTACAAGGTGAAGCCACAACTGGTCCCAAATTCCTTGTCTTCTCTTTCTTGGCAGTGCAAATTAACTTTTTTGACATATTCGTGTTACCATACAGTACACTAGAGGGAATTCTGTAGAAAAGTTATCAAAAGTATTGTGCTTCCTGTCTATCATAATGTATTTTTAGCATGGCAGATCCTTAATTAATCAAAGTAAATATCTTTTCTGAATATATGCAATGTCAGTGGGAAATATGAACAGGGAACATAAGTAGCTGCACTAGGTTGCAATCAATACCAAGTAAGAGAGTATCAATCATTGTTTATTTAGAGAGTATATAGCCAGTTCAGTCTAATTTGAGGCTGCAGTAACTTTTAAAGAAGAAAAACCTTCCACAGCTGTGGACAATAATGCAAGGAATATTAAGTATTAAACTCTTCACCCAACTTCAACTCTATTTGAATGGCCAAAAAAGGTTGCATGAACAGGTTGGCTGTGTATTAAGCAGGTGAGGAAACTTGTTATAGTGCCTAAAGCATCATCTCATTTTTAAAAGTGTTGCAAAAAAAACCCCAAAAAATTATGGAGAAGAAAAATAATGATTGGCATTTTTTAAAAACTCTGGTAGCATTTGTACACTTAAGAAGTAGTGTCCATTTAATGTTAAACTTTTCAACATTTTCCTCCTACATTATTTCACAAGATGTCCTTGGTAGATTTGGGAAAGAAGCTTTTAGAAGCTGCACGAGCAGGTCAAGATGATGAAGTTCGCATTTTGATGGCAAATGGAGCACCTTTTACCACAGACTGGGTAATAAAAAAATTTCATTTCTTTGAAATGTTTTTACATTATTTTTGTTTTCTCTGTGATATCTTCCCTGGAAAATAGTGTAATTAAACGATCGGAAATCTGTACAATCATATAAACCTGAGGTTTATATTTATATTTATATATATATTCCCGTATTGAATCTGAGGTTGGACATTGGACTATGGTATTGCAAATTGAAACTGGCTAGTTAATTGTATTGTTGACCTAGGAATTATATACCCAGGACTATTTTGGGCACTTAAAAGTAATTGATGATTGTGAACTCTGAATGAGTTAATCTTTTAAAGGCAGTCCAGGTGAACTTTGGAAAATATAATAAAATGTGTACATCCTTCATTCAGAAAGAAAGCTTATCCTGATTACATGACCATGTGTTAGTTTAGGAAGAGGGCCCAATTAATAGCTTTATTCTAATTGCTGATGATCAGCAGAAGTAGGGTCAATGACAAACACCAAAGGTGGAAGTTGGTGGAGTTCGAATGTGTATGTGACTTTGAAGAGGCAAGCCACAGACAGTGCTCTCTTCTCTGGATGATGGGAACTTGTTGGCAGAAAATCTTAACTTGGAAATTTTTCTTTTTATATTTCTTTCCTTCAACTTGCTGCTCCTTCTTTCCATGATATTAGAAAGGGAAAAGATAGGATTATTAAGACAAACAGAGTTAGAAGTGGTTGACTGATGCCTGGGTTCTGTACCTCCAGGATAAGAGACAAAACGAGAGGGTTGGAAGTGAGTACTTCATGCTGGGGTTTTTTTTTTTTTTTTGGTTTTTGTTAATAGTCCACTTTTGTACCACATTACAGTTGGGAACATCACCACTTCATCTAGCAGCACAGTACGGACACTATTCAACAACAGAAGTGTTACTTCGAGCTGGTGTAAGTCGGGATGCAAGAACCAAAGTGGACAGAACTCCATTACATATGGCAGCATCTGAAGGCCATGCAAACATAGTAGAAGTCTTACTTAAGGTAGAAACTTCTTTTTGTATTATCTGCCATTTGAAACTGAACCTGAATCTAGAAGACTAATTAATCATAAATCTGCATAGGTGTAACTTTTTTTAATCCCTCAATTGGCTGAAAATGACTTTTTAAATAATTTTAAGGGCTTTTTAAAAATTTAACGTCTGTACTGAAGGTGCACATCGTACATTTTTTTTTCCCATTCAGTTTTGTATTTTATTTTTAAATATTTGTAACAATCAGTGTGCTTTCAGGCAAATTGTTTATTGGCATCCAAAAATAAGACTTCTTCATAATGCAGTACTATATAAATAAAAATCTTCTAAAACCTACACATGTGGTCCTAGGAATTATTTAATCCTTTGTGTTAATGTGTGTGATAATTACTGTAAAGTACTTTTAATGAAATAGTAATTGTAAGACAGCACAAAGTTCCTTGCAGCAAGCAAGTGAAAGAGAGTACTTTCATCATCTTGGACATCGTTCCATTTGCAGCATTTTGCAGTTCAAACAGCCTGTGCGTATTTGATTTATGTGATGTTTTTGTTTGCAGCATGGTGCTGATGTTAATGCAAAGGACATGCTAAAGATGACTGCTCTTCATTGGGCTACAGAACACAATCACCAGGAGGTGGTGGAGCTCTTAATAAAATATGGAGCAGACGTCCACACACAAAGTAAATTCTGCAAAACTGCATTAGATATTGCAATAGACAATGGGAATGAAGATGTAGCAGAAATATTACAGGTAACTTTTTGATTTATGATGTAGATGAAACTTACAGAAAGATGCTGATCAGCTAAATTGTTAATTTAGGAGCTGTGGGAGGTTGCATGGTGATGAACATAGATTTTCTCCCCTCCAGTCCATAGCATAGAAGTGAGATAATGCTAATACACACTATTTGTGTAAAAATTGGCTGAAGAATGCTTCTAGCCCCTGCCAGTCCAAGAAGTGAGGGCCTTTAGTCTTTTTAACTTGCTCATTCTGACTTACAGAATAGCTGGGCTAGTTTGCAGATGAGGGATGGCAACTAACTCTAAGCTACGGGCATCTCTGGCAATATGTCCTGGCTTCAGTGTTAGATTAGTTTTCCGTGTGGGGGCTAAATTAGTTGGTGGAATGGGAGAGGGAGGAGATGCCCTTTTTTTGTTGATGAGGCACCAGCCCAACTTTCTATACTAGTGAGGATTGGATCCATTGGAATGCCCAGTTTCACACTGCCAGGCTTTTTGGTTTACCAGTACAATCGCTTGCATGGTAGCTTCAGACCTTTTCAGACGCTGAGATTATGCAGTTTTATATAAACTTCATGGTTAAATGGGCCTGTATGGCCGAGAATAAGTGAGGGTATTGAGTATTCAGTATTGAAATGCTAGGGAAACAGGTGTTGGTGGCAGTCTGCTGTTTTACTGCAGTCAGATTATGTTGCCTTTATGAAGCTAATAAGATAAAGTCTAAAGTTGCAGCCTCTTGGCCACAATTTACATAATTTGGTGAGTTCTCATCTGTCCTTGCTCTTTCCAATCTACCTGAAATTGCTCCTAGATTATTACGTAGGGGTTGACTGTAGATTTACATTTTTATCTAGTTTTATTTACCTTCTCTGTGGAGGAAGCTGTCATTTTAAAAAAATGTTTTTATAGAAGTATAATATGTTTGTTTTTAATGTTTATTTGCAGACTGAATAGTATTGTTGTCCTTTGACTCCTAGATTGCAATGCAGAACCAAATCAATACAAATCCAGAGAGTCCTGACACTGTGACAATACATGCAGCCACACCACAGTTTATCATTGGGCCTGGAGGCGTGGTGAACCTAACAGGTCTGGTATCTTCTGCAAATATATCAAATGCAACAGCTATTTACATGCATTTAGGATAGCTATTGGGACTTTATACTTAGTTGATTTGCCATTTTATGCAGACTATTAAGAACAGTGATGGTAAGATTGCAGCAGGTGCCTTATTCCTCTTCGTTGTCTTTTGCATATTATTAATATCCAAGTACTTAGAATAATAATGTAAATTGAGGTAACTCCTCAGAAACTGCATTAGCCTAACAAACTTGTCTTCAGAACAGCACTTTTGGTTTATAACAAGACCAATATATTTCTTCACTGTAAAAGATAGGGACTTGTGTAACATTCTAATACAAGTTTGTGAACTGACTTTATTTTTTCTCCTACTAGATGAGACGGGAGTATCTGCTGTACAATTTGGAAATTCATCAACATCAGTATTAGCTACATTAGCAGCTTTAGCAGAAGCGTCCGCTCCATTGTCTAACTCTTCAGAAACACCAGGTTAGAAAGCAAAGTAGTTTATTTGCACTGAGTAAACGAACACAAAGAATGTGGAGATAAAGCGTTCGGCAGTACAGTTTGTCTGAAAATGGATTGAAATTCATTTAAAAATACTGAAAATAAATTAATACCCATTTTGCTCAAACCAGCAATGTATGAGAATCACATCGTGTAAAATACTTACCACATAAAAGTCATAACTATTTCAGAGTAAGACTTTTTTTATTTACTGTTGGTATTTCTGAATTGCTTGGAGGCAGCACTTATTTTCATGAAATGTGACATCATTCAAGAGCCTATATAGTCAGATCAAAAACTGGTTTCTGACCTGCTGTATTACTAGTTGGAAGAAAAACTTGTAATATCTGAACACTAAACATTTTGTTTAAAGTATCAGAGGGGTAGCCGTGTTAGTCTGTATCCACAAAAACAACGAGGAGTCCAGTGGCATCTTAAAGACTAACAGATTTATTTGGACATAAGCTTTCATGGGTAAAAAACCCCCACTTCTTCAAATGCATGGTCTGAAGAAGTGGGTTTTCTACCAACAAAAGCTTATGCCCAAATAAATCTGTTAGTCTTTAAGGTGCCACCGGACTCCTCATTGCATTTTGTTTAAGTTCATATTTTTTAAAACTAGGAAAAGATGGCCATAAAATACAGTATTCAAACAAAACATACTCCTCATGTGAAGACCACTGAATAATCTTAAATATATTGGATTAAATGGTTAACCAACTTGAGTGCAGCCCATAAAATGACATGTGGGTCCTCTCCCAAAACACTGAAGCACCCTGCCTACAAATGTAACACATGAATGTAGAGCTAAATCCTGCCTGGATAGCACTACTAGTGTGACCAAGGATGCTGGAAAATGTATTCACTATTCTAGGAATCCTGCCAGTGGGGATAGTACTAGGGAACACTCTTCTGGGCACACATTGCTGCTGCACTGAAAAGGAGCAACGTGCATCTTTAGCTAGTATCTGCAGCCATCTATAGCATGTCTCACTCTGCAAGGCTGTGGGACGACAGAGAATCATTTGGCTGCCAAGATACTATAAAGTGCCATTAGCCCCAATTACTCTGAACATACAACAACCTACATCTTTTATTCCCTTTTAAAAAAAAATTTTAAACGAGAAGGCGCTGGCTACATCCCTTTTTTTGGGAACTCTTAACAAAGCTTGGGATGGCCTGATATTTTCCAGAGGCAGTTTTTACCAGGTAAAAACATAGTTTTTAGCACCCTGGGAAAAACTACTTCATCCCAGGTTAAGGCATTTTGTGTGTTAAAAACTGTTTCATTAATGCACACCACATTACCCTTAGTTTTAGTTACATATTCAAATTGTGGCTACATAAGGCAGTAGATTCATAGATTAATTTAGGGTTGTACAAAAAAAAACTGCAGTAGATGTAATACTTGTAATGATAATACTGAACATTGGAATGTCTATACATTTTTGGTTTGGTATTTTCTCGAGTAAGTTATATGTGTCATGACTCATATTTCAGTATTATAGTCGAAAACATTTGATTATATGAAAATTACGGTAATGCAGAGTTGTAGGCTTGAAGCATTAAGCAATCAGAAGCATGCAGAGTTGCAGACTACCAATCCAGGTTCATTTGGCTGTGCAGCATTCTGTAGCAGAAGACCAGTTTTGATGTAGTGAGTAGACTGACCCTATTCCTCAGTTTTGAATGCATGTATCTGAAGTTTGAAAAGATTTGTTCTATGCTTGGAGAACTTGCTGGACACTGATGTAGTTATTTTTCCCAGTGTCCTGGTTTAAACCAAGTTTAAACTGGTATGTACCAGCACCCTGTCCTCAACTAGATTTTGCCCAGGAAATTGCCAGCCCTATTGCCATGAACATGCTTTCCCAGTCTTACCCAGAGAATCTGCTGCCTTCCCCCCATTGCCACTTCTGTCCATTTATGATGCAGAAAGTCAAGAAAGAGAGGGCAGTTGTGAATCTGGTGGCACAGAAGTGGCTTCAAAGACTATGATTATTAGACCTTGTGAAGATGGCAGCAGATATATAAAAATTATTCACCTAATGGGTCCATCAGGCAACCCAACCCCATCCAGCAAAAGTTGGTAGTTTGACATTTTGAAAGAAGTAACTAAGGAGAGAGATTTGAGCTGGGTAGTCTTTCTCTTTCAAATAAATCAGAGTACGTTCTTAGAATACTTCAGAGTTGAAATGCTGGAGAAGATCTACAAGATTAGCAGTGTATTTAGGATTCAGTGGTAGATGTTCTTTGATAACTGGCTGAGAGCTCTCATAGGCCCACCTTTTCTATGATGCAGTAGAACCCAAGCCAAATGCCAGAAATCTATTAAAGGTGCAAAGCCCTGGAAAAAAATAAGCTTTATAAATAAACCAACCTGAAGTCTCCAATGGCTTTTAAAAAGTATAGCAGGAAAAATAAGTAAGTAAGTACCTGTGTATCAACACCAGTATATTCAAGCAAAAGGCTACACATTTTGTGTCCTTAGTAAAATTAGCAAGAGTGTCATAATTATATGTAAAAGAATTTAGCAAACCCTTAGAGTTGGGCTGTGGCAGTAGAGTCATCATTTTTGGCTATTATTGAGTAGTAAGACTATGGTAGACTTTTATTTTTAAAGTTATAAATTTCTTTGAAATAAACTTGGTTTATTTTAAATTATTTCCTTGCATAGCCTCATTGTTTAATATAGTTAATACTACTTTGCTTTCTTGCATAAACACTTCCTGAAGAGCATTTTTACTTTGTAATTCCTTAGGATAGGGATCTCTACGGAGAAGGCTTCAGAAGGCAATGATTGCAATCATTATTTGAATGGCACAGTCATTTTAAATTGTGCTGTCATTAATTGCAAAGATGAAAGCTTCTTAGTTGTATCTATCTGATCTGACATTTCTGAGATGACATAGGCTATAGTTTTAAATTTTATTCTGATAGAAAGCCTTCTAGTGTCTACTGCTTAAATCAAAGCCTCTGCTTTTAACGTAACATAGGATGAACATAAACATAGGTTTAATGTGCTTGAAAATGTTCATGATTGTCTAGTGCTTACATTGCTTTTTGTGCCTTAGTATTTTTTTGATTTTTTGGATAGGGTTTTTCCTTCTGACATTTTCAAAAATAAGGGATACTGTGACGGGGTCTATAATTTAAAGGGCAAATTAAAACAACCTGAGATGGATAACACACAGTTTATCAATGCTCTGAATAATATCTTTGCTGGTTTTTAGCTTGATTCATAAATGTAATATAGAAGAATTTGAGTGGGTCATTGCAATATATACATTCTAGAATCATGGGTTTGAAATGCAAAGGTTTGTTTTTATTATTTTTGATCTTGCAAAAGTGTTATACAATGTTTAATTTACCTTTTTAAAGTTCACTTTCTTCTTATTACTTTCCCAAAGTAAATATTTTATTTGACTCCCAAGTTTTTATTTCTGTGGAAAACAGACAAGATTACCCAATACTGTTTACTTAGCCCTGTTTGATATCCTCTACCAAGACCATTTAGGTATGGTTTGGCTTTCTGTGTGTGGAACACACATACAATACAACTTTAAGATCCTACAGAGGTCTTTTTACCTATTACTGCCTAGGAAGAAGATATCATAACTTGTGGGTCATGGGCCAAATTCTCAGCTGACTTCGTTGGACCTATGTGAATTTATACCACATGAGGATCTAGACCCACATTTCTATCCAAAACTTTTGTTACGAGTCACCCTGAGATTACTATAACTGAAAATATTAAAGAACAAAATATTTTTTTCCAGTTTCTTTACTTTATACATGTGACAGGAATTTGACAACATTTAGTTAGGGCCCTACCAAATTCACGGCCATGAAAAAAGGCATCACAAACCGTAAAATCTGGTCTTTTGTGTGCTTTTACCCTATACTGTGCAGATTTCACAGGGGAGACGGTGTTTCTCAAATTGGCGGTCCTGACCCAAAAGGGAGTTGCAGGGGGGTCACGGTATTATCACCCTTACTTCTGCACTGGCTTCAGAGCTTGGCAGCCAGAGAGTGGCAGCTGTTGGCTGGGTGCCCAGCTCTCAAGGCAGCGCCCCGCCCCTCCCCTCCCCCCCACAGCAGCGCAGAAGTAAGGGTGGCGATATTATAGCATGCCACCCTTCTGTGCTGCTGCCTTCGGAGCTGGGTGGCTGGAGAGTAGTGGCTGCTGACTGAGGGCCCAGCTCTGCAGGCAGCAGTGCAGAAATATGGGTGGCAATACTATACTGTGCCACCCTTCTGTGCTGCTGCTGGCAGTGGCTCTGCCTTCAGAGCTGGGCTCCTGGATAGCAAGTGCCGCTCTCCAGCTGCCCAGCTCCAAAGGCAGTGCCGCCACCACCAGCAGTGCAGAAGTAAGGGTAGCAGTACCACAAGCCCCCCCTACAATAACCTTGCCACTCTCCCACAACTCCTTCTTGGGTCAGGACTCCTACAATTACAGCACTGAAATTTCAGATGTAAATAGCTGAAATCATGAAATTTATGATTTTTTTAAAATCCTATGACTGTGAAATTGACCAAAATGGACCATGAATTTGGTAGGGCCCTACATATAGTTCATTGATTTGTGTGTGCATGCTGTTACCCAGGCTCTGCAAGGGGTGTTTGCCAGTAATAGTAGCAGTAGTACTGCTCTTGGACCCACCCAGACGGCTTTCCTAAACGTCAAAAGGAAGGCAGAAAAACTCTAGAAATGTTCTGTTTAGAATGTTAGAATGCACTGTACATAGTGTGTGCTATCAATTTTTTTTAAAGAATTAGTGAATTAAAAAAAATTCAGATTGACCCTTTAAAGACCTCAGAGCACTTTTCAGCAGACTCTGAACAAAACATTTGTTTCATTACTAATCATCTCAGAGTTTATAATGGACGTAGCTGTGTGCAGACAACACAATAGCTATTGGGCTCTTCAAAAAAATTATCTCACTCTTGGTGCAATACTAATACCTAACTCGGTACTTAAAATATCCCAAAATTATTTTACAAAGTATGAAAAATGCTAACTAAATCAGATTATATTCTTTTGGGCTGAATTCTGCCCTGTTCAATCCCATTGATTGCAGTCAGGGCAGAATTTGTACCAGTACATATATTTTTGAAATGTCACATTTCTTGCCCCGATGAAAGATTACCATTGACTTCAGTGAATTTTGGATTAGATCATATAAGCATAGTTAGTATGTGAATAATGCATTAGATTTATAGCTGTAGAAGAAACATTGAATTTGAAGTGGCATGTAAAAGGCTTCTAATAGTTACTAAATTCTGCGTCCCAATTTGTAAATTATAAATATCCTGACCTTCTTTACACTTTATCAACAGTTGTGGCAACAGAAGAAGTAGTGACTGCAGAATCTGTGGATGGTGCAATTCAGCAAGTTGTCAGTTCTGGAGGTCAACAAGTTATTACTATAGTTACAGATGGCATTCAGCTTAGTAATCTCCATTCAATTCCAACCAGTGGAATAGGTCAGCCAATCATTGTGACCATGCCAGATGGACAGCAAGGTGAGTGGAAACAAGATGCTCAAGGAGAAATTTCAAGAATAATTTTAGTTTAAAATCTTGATAGTTCAGGAAAATGTGGGACTTTTTACATGATCTGTTTATGTGCACAGCAGATAGAATCGACATTTGCTGTATGCAGTGAATTATTTCTCTAGATCTGCTGCGGCTGAGTAAGATGCCATTTGAATTGCATTTTTCTGTAGCTGTGCAAGTCCACTAAAATAGGTCAGAAATGGACTATAGGGAAAAAAATAAAATTTAAGAAATTAATTTAACCAGTGAGATTTGAGTATGCAAATATATTAAGACGAGTGGGGGAGGAGGAAAAATTTCTAAGGTGTAAGGAGGAGAGGTAAGATGTTGAAGGGAAAGGTGATGATCGTCTGACTTCTCTCTCTGAACCTGGGTTGTTATAAACTCAGTATCAAAAATAGAAAATATAGAACACCAACAGTAAAACAGTCTTTCAGTAGTTAGGACCCTTTTTCAGAGGAACTCAGGCAGAAAAGTGGGATGTAAAATTTGAGGACCCAGTGCCAGGAGCAGCGTTTGCATAGCATGGGTATCTGCTCTATGAGGATCCTCTCTGGACTCCAGGATGCACAGGACTTTTTGAGTGCTGTCTGGGAGAGGAGATGGGGCAGAGCTGGTGGATTCATGAATACACCTTGTACCCAACTGGAGCAAGAATACGTTTACTGTGGGAGCTATTGCTACCCTGACGCTGCAATAATGGTTTTGGAGTTTTGTGTAAATACTTCCTGTAACAGCTACTCCTGTTGGAAATGATTCTTTTCTTGGTTTCCCATCATCAGATCACCCTCTGGGATCCCCAGTGCAGAGCTTGGCTTAAAGCCATGCGTTGTGGTCCAGGATTTAGTCCACAGTCTGTGGGCAGATACAGCCATTTATCACGAAACATGAATCTATACTGTCACTAATTGAATTGAACTGACCCTTAGAAGAGTACTTACATTTGCCATATAGCCAACCAAATGAATATTTAGGAAGTATGTATACAATGTACTATAAATATGACCATAATTTTCTCAGGGTTCGGGAACTGCTAGATTTTTTTCAAATTGCCTGAATGATTGACCTCAAAAATATAAGCCATCTTACTTTTCACAAATTATTTAAAAGGAGATAGTCTTGTAGCTGAAGCACAGAATTATGAGTAGGGAGATCTAGTTTCTATTCCCAGCCCTGCCAAACAGATATTCTGTGATCTTGTGACTGGTCACTTAATGTATGTGCCTTGTTAACCCATGAATACAATGGGGTTGATAATACCTACTCATCACCCCTGCTGTGTTGTGAACCTAAATTTAAAAAAGAATTTTGAAATCTCTAATAGAAGATGCAGTAAAAGTATAGCATTTTGAACTTAATGAGTATTTCATTGAGCTGTGGTTTTTCTATCGGAAAAGCTGGCTTTTCCATTTACTCTTGAAAGTATTTTACATATTAGTTTTATGTAATGTAAATACTGGCCCTGTATTCATATTTATCTATATAAATGTTTTTACTGAAGTATTAACAGTACCAGCAACAGACATTGCTGAAGAAACTGTGATCAGTGAAGAACCACCGATCAAGAGGCAGTGCATTGAGATTGTTGAAAATCGTGTGGAGTCTGCAGAAATAGAAGTAAGGAGTCTATTACCTGATGTGTTTTAACCAGAATTTTCAAAACTGAATGTTTTGTTGTTTCTTGTTTTATAGCTCAGTTTCTATGCAGCCACGGAATGAAGATAACCTGTTTGTATTCCCATATCCTTTGTTAGTTTATATCAGAATTTGTGTTTTACAAAATTGGTATAGGAAGTAGATAGCATAGATATGTTCAATCCTCAGGTTGCCCATTTGTGCATATATATTTTGCTTATTTTTGTACTTGGTTAATTTTTTTTTCTTTTAATGTCACCGGTAAATTCCTAAAACTAGATACTGATATATCATCATCTAATATGACTTTTCATAAATAACGAATGAGAATAATGTCCTTTCATCTCTCTCTTAAAAACACATTTGCCTTGATTACTGAAAATATATCATGATTTTACCATTAATGACATCTAGGTAAGATATTTAATGAATGAAAGGACAAAACAATAAGATTCTATCTTGCTGTTACAAAAATGTTTCAAATTTTTACCTTTTTTTTTTTTTTTACTGTGTGTGCAGAAATATGAATAAAGCATCTAATTGCACCATCTGGTATACTGAAATTTTGGTGCAGAAGTCCTAACTTAAAATAAAAGTGAGATCTATCCTTTTTTATATATAAATTTATTTAAAACCAAAACATTTTTCTGCAATCCACAATTGTGCATTGGCAACCTCTTTACTCCTTGCTCTATCCCTGCTACTTATTTTGATTGAAAGTCTATGAAAACTGCTACCTTCCCTAATTAGACTGTAAATGCCAAATTATTTTGTTTCTGTGAACCTTACAGTATTTTGTTTCACAAATGTATTTCTCCTAGTTTTGTTATATTGAATACTGTTTTGTGCTTCATTATTGTACAGTGTGTGGAAGGATACCTCATGCATGACTAATAGCGAAAATTAGCATATTTCCTCAATGACTTTTTCTCTCCATAATATATTACATGAAGTACATTCTGCCTTTAGTTGTGTGATCATTACAGACTATCAATACAGTTGAGATTTTCTTGCTGCACTTTTTTAATGTATGATTTATAATAAAAACAAAACTTCTGTTCACACTCTTTTAAAAATCTGCCTGAATTTTTCTTAGTAAAGAAAATTATAGTTCCTTGATCTCAATAACTTAACATATTAATAAGTCAGAGACAAAAAACAGATTGATTAAGAAATGAATCAATTCATTTCTAAATATAGTAGATCAGCATGGTAATATAAATACTTTTTTTAAGTGACACTGTTAGCTTAAGTTATATATTTTAAACAAGCCTTTTTAACTGTTACTAAAAATACTTAATAGATTTTCTTAAGTGTTTCACTTATGTTTTCAAAAAATTTAAATATCAAGATAAATTTAGGCCTTGATTATGAAATAAGAGGTGTACAGGCAGATCTCTGCACCTGCACACAGCTCTGACTTTGGGGGACAGGACCACAGAGGTTTGATTGCATCCATTTTATGGTAGGATTGAGAAATTTATTGGTTAGGGTCCCTTTCATGCTGTTGTCATAGCTTGAGAGCATAAGCTGATAAATGCTTGAAACAAGAAAAGAAAATAACCTAATATCTGCAGAGCAAAACTTCAGTCTCTTCTTGAATTGAATGTTGCAAACGTCTTTATCATTGCCTTCAGTTGTTCGATAGATTTTTAAATAAAAGGGGGTAACATTATTTAAGGCTAATAACAGCTTTCTTCACCATTTTAAGTTCTTAGCACATCTATATACTATGGGCTTTATTTCTGAAATCTTTATGTAAACCAAGCTCCCTTTGACTTCAGTGAGACACTTTCTTGTTTAGTGGTTGCAGGATGAGGACTTTGGTTAATTTTTTCAGTTTGACTTCTGAGCTCTCATAAGAGTGTATTAATCAAAGTCTGAATTGCTAGGAATATAACTCACTTAATTGCAGTTTTGTGAAGCATGTCAAAAATTGCAGAAGTCACAAACATTTTTAACGTACTTAGTAAGTGGCAAAATTTACCTTACACACACATTTATTTTTTGACTGCTTGAGTTAAATATTGACTTCCATCCATAACTTAATATATTAATTTATAATGATTCATATTCACCATTGAGTTTGACTTCACTTTTCCCAGAGTAGCTTAGGAAAAGTGTAACACACATATTAGAAACACCAAGCAAATGGAATTATCATTTCATAAGTCTTTTTAATTGAATTTAGTCGTAAGTTCATCTTAAAGGATCACATTTCTTCTTTTTTATCGACTGTTAAATATTACCTGACATTTTCCATTATTTCTAATTATACACAGCACTATCTGTGCTGCCCATAATAACACCTGATATAACTATAACTGAACAAAATGCTCTCTGTAAAAACATAAAAATTGGCAGTGGGGGTTCAGGGGCATTTGTAGTTAGTGAAACTACCTCTAACTAACTTTTTTCTTTTAAATTGAAGTATCTCTTTAAAATACAGCCAGACTTCAGATGAATACTTGTGTAGAATATTGTACAGTAAAAAAACCCACTTCATTCTCACAGTTTCCCTGAGATAAACTATCTGCCTACTCAAAACCACTATCATCCATATCTTCTGTAGCGATTCCTAGCACTGATGTTGTTCCTTTCAGTCCCCAGTCCTTCTGTCTGTGGTAGACAGCTTTATGCAGTTTATCTCTTTTGTTTTTTTCTGGTGAGATTCTTCTTCCCCCCCCTTTCTCTGTGTTCTGTCTCAGAAAGAATGTAACCACTGTGCTTCAATTGCATATATGCAGCATACAGGGTGCTTATATGAGTTCCTCACTCAGGAGCAAGTCCCTCAGTAGTCTATCTAAATTAGAAAAGGCTCTCCTGTTCACTTCAGCCATCTACGCTTAAGGGAAGTAGAATATGCAGAGAGAATGGCTCACGCAGAACAACCATTCAGCCAAGGATATGACTATTAAATCTGTTGATGCTGTGTATTCTAAAACTGGGTTCTTCATCAGGTGGGCTTGCTTGTTGGAATTAAAGATCAACAATTCTTTCTCTGTTGTACCAAGCATTGGGACCCACATGTTTGGAGGTGAGTGCCCTGTCATTCAGCTAGCTGGGGGCCTGGATGTAGGTATTGCAACCCCCCTTCCCCCCCAGCTTATGGCAAGATGGCCAGGAATATAGCAAGAGGTTTATAGAAAAGATTATTCTAAGTGCTCTCTTCTGAATCTGAAGGTCTTGATTCTCCAGTGTGCTTCAAAAATCCACCTTCAGCCCATAGCCCCCCTCATTCTTCAGGGATCAGCTGTATCTGTATCTAGTTCTTCATCTGAACCTGTCGAGGTTAAAGTTAACAGCCAAAAGGTTGAAGCTACAGTCCTTTAGCCACTGTACTTGGTGCAAGTTTTAGAAATTCCAGCCACTCAAAGCATCCTTGAGTTCTTACTTAGCTACAGTTGTTTGTAAGTTCAAATGTCAGCTATTGGAGCCCTAGACCTGATCAACTGTTGCTATACCCTTGCTGTACATCCTCATGTCTCCTACTTCCACAGAGCTGTCAGCTGTGTAAGAGCATGTATAGGAAATTATCTGATGGCTTGTTGGTACTTTACTTTTGAACCTCTGTGCTCATACCAGAGCTCTTTTTAAACCCATGAGGGAATCTTGTTTATATTTCGTAGCAATCAAATTTATTTTTCTTGTGGAAATCACCCTGTTAGAAGTGTGAGATGGTCTGAGTCCTTTCCTGCAAGGAGCTATTCTTTGAGTACTTGCTCATGTTGATTCTGTTCTAGGTGTGTGCGTGCCCACATGCATAGTTATCTGAGATTTTTCCCTTAGCGGTATCTGTAGGGTCAGCTGTGGTGCTCCGTTGAGCGTTGCGCTCATTCACTGATATATCAGGAGTCGCCGACCCTACGCCCTCTCAGTTCCTTCTCACTGCCTGTGATGGTCAGAGTGCTTCCTATAGCATTGCAAGAGCATTAGCAGTTCTTTATAGCCCATTGTTTATCTCCTTTGTATATGGTTTGTAGGTACTTAGTTAGCCGTTAAGTTAAGTGTTAGGTTAGTCTGGTAGTTAGAGTCCCGGCTGGGACTTTGCCCCAGAGTGGGGCATGCCCCGTTTTCCCGGCTTCAAACCATGCTCATCATGCAACAGGCCGATGCCTATTAGTGATCCCCATGACAGCTGTTTGAAGTGCTTGGGGGAGTCCCATAGAAAGGTCAAGAATCTGTAAAAACTTTTGCCCTAGAACCCAGAAGGAGCAGGATAGCCACTTGAGTGCCCTCTTGATGGAGGCTGTGCTTCGTCCTGTGTTGGAACCCTCCTGCTTGGACCTCACGCCGAGCACCTTGGCACCTGTGCGTAGCGCATCGTTGGCACCATGCTTCGCCCAGCACTATTCTGCCTGACCGGTACCTAAGAAACAGCAAAAGAAGGAGAGCCCCTGGCACCAGAAGTAAAGGGGCTTCAGGCAAAGGACCTATGTTAGGCCATGTGCCCACCCTGAGGCTTCATGGGGTACTGCTGAGGTCGGACCCCCTAGCCTGGCCAGGGATCCGACTCCTGGGAGCATCAGGGGGTTTTGGCTTCTCCTAGGGCCCTCGTTGCCCGAAGCAGCCCCGGCAGCTAAAGAGCAAGCAGGTCGACCAGCACTGTAGACGCTGCGGTAGGTGCCAGACTCGGCTAAGACCCCCAACACCTAAGGTCAAGCCTACGAGGCATGGACACGAGTCAAAGCACTGGTCCCATATCCCCGGTATCGGCAAGCTTCCCACCAAAGATCGACGTGGCTCAGGTCACCTTTGCCTAGACGATCTCCCAGATGTCAGTCCCCGCTGGGGCGGGTTCTCTCCCTTTCACGGCACGGGTCTCAACTTCCCCAGTACCGCTCGTTGAGCAGGCATTGATCTCTCTCTCGTATCACCGGTTGCCAACCAGGGTCAGTCAGCAGACTCAGGCCTCGACAGCTCCGCTCTGGTCGCTGGAAGGGCAGTGAGTTGGACTGGGAGTGAGTTGTTCAGCCCGAGGG